GTTTTCAATAAAACTTATGATGGAAACCTTATGATGGAAACATTTCCAAGGAATTATTTTCAAAATGCCCTCTTCTTAGCATACATTTTATTTGAAAAGCTGTTCCTCTCTTACTGTTTAAATATTCCCTACAGCATGGTAGGGCGGATTAATTTTGTCTGAAATATCTGCTGGGGTCACACGCTACTAATAGTCGCTTATGGTAGAAAAGGTCAGAGAAGCTAGGACCCATTCACATTTCCGTAAGAGAAAAGTGCCCAGTCATCCTTAAATTTGATTCCCAGAAGGCCCGTGAGCTAAGGAAGAGTTTCCTATTATACCCCTCTTGTTTACAAAGTATGCAAATATTCTTGTCTAAGGCATTGTTTTTATAAAACCAACCACACTGATAACCCGCTGGAGCACTTACACAGTAATAAATGAAACCATTCATTGAACGTGGGCCAAAGTGGAAAGGTGCTCCCCCCCCCCCCCCCCCCCCCCCCCCCCCACACACAGAGGAGTTCGCCCTCATCCTCAGGATTCCTAGACAATCTTCCGGAACTCAGGACGGCCTGAAACGGGGACTGATGGAGGGCATCATGTCAATCTACTTATTAAATATTAGCTAAGTCTTAAATTTCTAGATTAAAAAAAAACAAACCACCTGACTCAGTATTTATATGCCTCACCCAAAGGATCATATTGCACACTTTGCTTTGGAGACCAAGATTTAGGGAGGGAGTTTGTGTGGGATCAGCTGGGAGAAGCCTGCCTGCCGGTCGCACTGTGAATGCAGGAGGGCCCCCCTTTGGGGGAGTCACAGCTTTTCCTTCCATTTAGAAGGAACGCCCAGGTTTCCAAACCCCTCAGCAACTGGTACCATCTAATAGGGACAGAGATCACCTTCTCCTCTGCCCCCTCCCCCTCTGGCCGCCCCTCAGAGGGGTCCTTTGAACCACGGACGGTGGGGAGAGGGCACCAGAGGTGGGAAGGGGCTGCCTATTCTGTGGGGTGTTTTCTCAGGGGGGCTCCCGGGTGCACCTCTCCCCAGGAGGAGCCTCCTGTTCACGGCCAGTTGAGGGGTGAGGACTGAGCTGCAGGTAGCAGCTGCGGGTGTTGGCAGGGAGCAGAGCCCTAATGTGGGGCCTCATCACCCCAAACCTGGAGTCATCCCAGGAGGCAGGACCTGGCAAAGGGCTTCTCTTCACTGCTGCAGGCTTTACAGAGCCCTGGGCTTGGAAGATCCTGTGTAAATACTTGTCGGATTTACTTGAATGGAGCTGAAATCTCATTTCCTGATTCCAGCAAGATTGGAAGTGCAGGCTGGGTGGGCTGGGTTCTGATTCCTGGGGGGTTGGGGTGGGAGGGACGCCAGGCCTGCTGGGCAGCTCAGCCCTGGGAGGGATGTCCTGAATCTGGAAGAGCTTCAGTCATTCCTTCCTTTTGCCTGCCTCTACTTGTCTGAGGGTGCCCAACCCAGGTGAGGGTCCCTGGTCCTCTTGGACGCGGGGAAACGGCAGGAGGGAGGGGCCGGGAGGGACAGGGAGGAGCCAAGTGCAGAGCCCTAGGGAATGTGTGTGCGTGTGTGTAGAAGCTGAGTTTCCACTGGACAGTCTTGGTCACCGTCTTGATCTTCCAGTATTTTCCTCCCGAGGCAGCTTCACAGCCAGTTCCGCCCTCCTTGGCCTGGTGCGTGGGGAATGCACCCTATTCTGACCACGGGGAAGACCTAGGCACATGTGCTCCCGTGTGCTCAGAAGCCTCACCTGTCCTCGGTGCACTCACGCCCTCAACCTGCATCCCTACTTGCAGACTCGCCCCGCCAGCCCCAGGCACACGTGTGCCGCCCCGTGTAGACATACATGCACACGCGCCTGTCTGCACTTGGTCAGACCCACTGTACGTGCACCTCCAGAGACAGCCAGTGCCCCCCAGACACGTGTCCTCCCTCAGGCACAGAAAGCCAGCCCACAGGTCCCACTTGGAGGGACATGAAACAGACGGGGTCCCCCGGGCTGCGTGCTTCTCCCAGGCTGGTGTCCACCACAGTCAAGAGCCTCATACAGCTGCTGGCATGACACAGGCTCCCATTGTGCTCCCAGGCACAGGGGGACAACGAGGGCCTGTTTCCGCCTGCTCCCCACAACACCGCCCCGGCCGCGGGGGCCTGGGAGCCCAGCCGCCTGTTTCAGAAGATGAGGGAAACTCCCCACAGGCCATGTTCTGAAGGAGGACTTCTTGGGGAACCCCAGGCTGAGGGAGGAGATGTAACTCCTGCCCTCAGGGACCCAGAGAGTGGGAAGGGAGATTTGGGATTTGCACTTGACCTGCCCGAGGCGGGCACAGACCCTTGCAGTTCTGGGAGGGGAGTTCTGATTGCTTTTCAGGTCAAGGCACGGCCACTGTGTGTGAGCCTGAGTTTTGAGGGTGTGGAGGCTGCAGCCTGCAGGCCACTTGAACCTGTGGATCAGTTCTGCTAATCCCAGGTAAACCTGGTTTCTCTTGCCCCTGCTTTGCATGCTAAGGAAGGCCTCTGTTATGGACCGAAGTTAGGGGCCCCCGCAAATTCACACACTGAAGCTCCCAACCACCCGGTGTGGCTGTACTTGGAAATGGGCCCTCTGAGGAAGGAATTGAGGTTCAGTGAGGTCATCAGGGTGGGGCCCTCACCCAATAGGACTGATGTCCTTGTAAGAAGAGGCAGAGACACGAGAGATGGATTTCTGTCGTTCTGTATCTGCCCAGAGGAAAGACCACGCGAGCACGCGGTGCGCAGGCCATGGTCAATGAGCCATGAAGGGAGCCCTCTCATTAGGAACCCAATCAGTGGGCACCTTGATCTTGGACTTCCAGCCTCCAGAACCGGCAGAAATAAATGGCTGTTGTCTGAGCCACCCAGTGTGTGGTGTTCTGTTCTGGCAGCCGGAGTGGATTAATAAGCTGCTCTGTTTCTCCCCAGCCTCGCTGGCCTATGGCAGCTTTGTCTCAGACCTGCGCCAGCGCCCGACACACATGCACAGGACGGGATTTCACCCCACGGCCCTTTCGGGTCAGTGGGTTTCCCCAGCAACCGGCCTCCCACGGCAGTCCTCTTAATCAACCTCTGAGCTTCTTTGAATGGGTTTCTTTACTCACTGCTCTGGGGACAGCAGATTCTACGAACTGACATTTTCTAGGGACTTTTCCTCCTCAAAGTGCTCTTTCCTTCCAAATCTGTGTTTTAAAGCATGCCCCAAATGGCATGGCAGCGTTTTACATGGTGATTCCGGTTACCATCTGCAGAGTGCTTGCTCTGTCCTCGTCGTGGGGGGGTGGGGGAGATGGGAACGACCCCACCCCAGGCTGTCTCCTCTGGGCAGCCATTCCTTCGCTCCTGCTCTGGCTCTTCCTCTCGGAGCCGCCTTCCCCACCCACGCTAATCCAATCCTTGGCCACCACCCCTGCTTGGGGCCAGCCCTCCTTTCCCGCATGTTACCTCCCACCGTAGACAGTCAGCAGCCTCACCTGTGTGATGCCAGTTGACCGAGGGCCTGCTCTGTGCTAGCTTCCTTCTCTCTTTCCATCCTCAATGGTAACCCCTTTGGGTAGTTTCTCTCATCATCCCCAGTTTACAGGCGAGGAAACTGTGGCTCACTGAGAAAAAGTTCCTCTCCTAGAACCAGCCAGCTGGGGAAGGAGCTGGGTTCACACCGGGGCTCCTGATAATAATCTGCGTCGCTCCTCACGCCCCGCCCCTGGCCGTGCCAAGCCCTCTGTGCCTCTCCCGACCCACCATCCCCGAGCCATTGGCCCCTTCACTCTGTCTGGCCCACCGTTCGCTCCCCTGGCTACCAGTCTTCTGGACTCTTTATTTTCGTTCCACTAGGACATCACCCCAGGAGTCCCCAGCACCTACAAACAGCCTGCACACGGTGGACTCTCAAATATATTGGGTGAAGAAATGAACTGTTGCAGGGCGCCTGGATGGCTCAGTCAGTTAACTGTCCAACTCTTGATTTTGGCTCAGGTCAGGATCTCAGGGTTGTGGTGCTCTGAGCTGAGCGTGGAGCCTGCTTAAGATTCTCTCTCTCCTTCTCCCTCTGCCCCTCCCTCTGAAGAAGAAGAAGAAGAAGAAGAAGAAGAAGAAGAAGAAGAAGAAGAAGAAGAAGAAGAAAAGAAAGTAAAAAAAAGAAATGAACTATTTTTTCCCAACTAGGAAGCAGTATGCTCATGCCTGGCTTCTGCCCCTACACCATAACACCCAGCATGGGGCTGGGCACACCGTGGGACCGCCTCATGACCCACTGGACACTCCTGAGGGTCCTCCTCTTGCCTCCAGCTGCTTGTTATAAAACCCCCAGCTGAGCCAGGTGAGCGCTCCTGACCCCCCACCCCCGCTGCCAAAACTGACTTTTGCCATGTTTGCTAATATTCCTTTCCTTTTCTCCTCGCAATCAACATTAGCTTGGCTAGCTCCCTTCCCTCAGCCTGATAAGGATGGGGTAACAGCATCTGGACAAACTTGGGGTGTGCTTTTCTTGCCTTGTCAGAACAGCAGCTCCTATCTGGCTGGCAATGGGCTGGGAGCCAGACCCCAACAATGGAGGCCTTGTGAGCTGGCCCCTGGGGTATGCTGGGAGCCTGCAGGTTAGCACACACACAACCCTTCCTGGTGCCACCTTCTTATCTCCTGCCACCGAGCCCTTGCCAATGCCGAGGCTGCAACCCCACCCCTGTAATTGCATGTCCTGATAGAGCATTCCTGGGCTCCGGCCACCGTTAAACATTGACTTAAGATGCGGGGGGCAGTCACCGCAGACTATGGGGGCTCCTAACTGGGGGGGGTCCTGCCTGGATGTCCCGCACTTCTCCTCCCAGGGGCCCTGGGCTGACTGAGAAAGCTACAGCACAAGGCAGGTGTCCTTGGCTTCCCATACCTCTGAGTGAGTGTGTTGTGGGAGCCCCCCCCGGGCCCTTTTGGAAAGGAAGGTCTTAGCCCCCCTTTCTTTCTCAGGCTCCCTCCCTGCTTAGGCCCAACCTCTCTTCCCATCTTTCTCTTTCTCCCTGGGTCTTGTCCCACAGGGGGGAGCTCGGATGGAGGCTCTGCTGTCCCGGTCCCATCCAGGATTTGCCCCCTCTGGGAAAGCTAAGCTAAGGGGAAGCAGCAGGCTCTGAACCCCCTCCCGCCCGTCCCGAGAACACCCTCCTGGCTTCACCAGGCCCCCAGGGCTGTGTGCCCCAAACAGCAGCGAGGACGTGCTGGGGTATGTAACTGGCAGACCCCCGCTGGCCGAGGACCCCCAGTTTAGAGGAGGACATAGTTACCCAGCATGTCTTCCAGTGGCCAGTGTCGTGGTAAGTGACAGGGGAGTGCTGATGTGGGACTCGCCCAGTGGAAATAAGCGTTGGATACTTTGCACTGAGGCCCACGTACACCTCTGGTCATGGTGTGATTTGCTGCCTCACTGGCCTGGTGCAGGAGGACGCCTCTGGTGGCCCTGTGAACCGCCGCAGGGGAGGGAGGGTGAACGTGTGGAGCCCGGGGCGGGGGGGGGGGGGGGGGGGGGGGAAGGGGGGGGAAAGGGGGGGGGGGGGGGGGGGGGCACCGTCGGAACAGTACAGAAAGAGGTGATGGGGGGTGGGCGACAAGCCAGCAGTGGGGACAATGGAGAAAAGGAACTGGTTCCAGGCTGACTGGATGGTAGACTCTGAAGGTGAGGGTACGGAGGCTGGGTGGAGAGGGAGGAGGTTTCTGGCCTGAGCTGCTGGGTAGATGGAGGAGCCATTTCTATATGGAAAGAGTGGAGACAGCACATATTTGGGGCCAGGAGGGGACCCGAGAGTTTAGCTGAAGCACGTTATGTTTGCGATGCCTGGGAAATAACCCAGCATCAGTGTGCCTTACTGACGTGGCACAGAAGCACATCCCCCATGGCAAATGTCTCTGGTTGGACTGTCCCTTGCATGGCTCCCCTCCCCCAGTGCACAGCAGGGCAGGACCTCGGGCGGGACAGTCAGGGCCCCCCACCTCCCGGACGCAGAGATTGGTCTTGGAGTGGGCACACAGCCACTCGGGGGTGCCGAAGAAGGGAGGGTTGCAGTCTTCTCTGAGTTTGTGAGCTGTAAGGAAATGGAGGGCTGGAGCTGTCGGTGGGTGGTAGAGAGGCCACCACATGGATTGAGGCAGCCAGAGAATGGAACCAGCACGGGAAAATGGAGTCAGGATTCGGAGAGGCTGAGCTCTGGTCACACCCTTTGAACTTCTGGATCCATCCATGTCTAAAGTTAGATCTGCTGGGGGTGCCTGAGTGGCTCAGTCGTTAAGCATCTGCCTTCGGCTCGGGTCATGATCCCAGGGTCCTGGGATGGAGCCCCGCATTAGACTCCCTGCTCCGCGGGAAGCCTGCTTCTCCCTCTCCCACTCCCCCTGCTTGTGTTCCTTCTCTCACTGTGCCTCTCTCTGTCAAATAAATAAATAAAATCCTAAAAAAAAACAAATAAATAAAAAAAAAAGTTAGATCTGCTTTTCGATCCACTATGTAAACTAATAAAATCTTTTGATTTTCCTGGAAGCTAGTTCTAATACTTCTGCCTGCCACTGAAAGACAAGGCATAAGACTCCCACAGCATCCCAGAGGAGATGTCAGTCAGGTGGGCCTCCCGGAGCAGAGACAGATGCAAACGTGGGGGAAGCCAGGTGCTGGGGAAGGACAGCCAGAGGGGCAATGGCTGGAGAGGGACACGGAATCAAAGGACACATGTGGCAGGAACTCCCAAATGATTCCAATATTCACTTTTGCTTTCTTTCTCGAGTTTTTAGCTGAGCACATGGCCGTTCCCAGTAAGTGTGACCGTGAGGCTAGGTCTGGATGAAGAGATGTGCGCACAAGTCCTGTGGGAGCTCTCCATTTCCCACTGGGTGCCATTGGCGCTCCAGCCACTGGAGCTCCAGCCCACAGCCTGGCAGAGGACACTGGTGATACTGCCCAGTACCCGGTTCAAAACCAAGGCACCCCTTCCCCTCATCCCCCATCGCCAAGAGTGTTGTCTGCTCTCACACAGTTCAGTTGAGTCTTTCTCTAGAAACCACTTTGCCCAAAGTTATGCCTCCTCCCTGGGGGGATCAAATGGGGGTCTGCATCCAGTGATGGGTGGGATTGCAAGCCCAGCTCCTGGCCTCCACGGAGACAACCTGGAAGGCCACCCCAGCTTCCAGTGCTCCCGTGAGGCTGGCTGGGTCCTCTGTTGGGGCTGCCTCACCTTTGCCAAGTCTTGCTTCCATCCTCCCTTTCACGAGGGTTTATCCCAAGAGTACCCCCCATAAAACACCTGTCTGCAAATCTCCGCCTCAGAGTGGGCTTCCTGAGCAATCCACCTCAGGACAGAAGCTGTCTTATGCTGTGATGGGAGCAGCCTGTGGACGACAGTGAAGTAAACAGTACAAGAAGCCCGAGTCCTCCAAATGCACTAACTGCGGTATTAGCCCTGAACCATCAACTTCCACGGTAGAAAAACAGACTTGCAATGGGGTTTGAGGTCTCTTTGTTATGGCAGTCTAAACACGTTCTGATTGACATAGAATTTGTTTTCAGGAAGCAGGATGTTGACGTGGCAAAATTGTAAGCGCGAGGCATTGGGCTCTTGTCAGACAGTGGGTCAATACCTCAGGTTGCAAAGCTGAGGACCGTGTTATGCCGAACAATTGCTAACACTATGTCTTGTGGTATTTTGGAAGACGGTTCCCATGCCTCTGGAGCCTCTCGTTCTAGAGCAAGGGGTTGGAAAAGGTACAAATGTCGGTGGGGATAGTCTTCTTCACACATTTGGCAAGGTCCTTAGGAGACATACGCTCAGAATAGAGACAGCAGTTCACAAGCAGAGATGAAAACGAATGGAGCTCTGTTAATGGAGACCCTTCCTGCCTGTGGCCGGTAATCTAAGCTGGCGGAGAATCCAGTATTTGAAGCTTCCACGTGCTGAGAAAGCCAAGTGCTTTTGTACCCCAAACTGAAGCAATGACATGAGGGGGCCCTCAAGAGGCAGCTTCCCCGGGAGGTAAGACTGTGGTCTGAGCCTTTCCTGACTAACTCAGTGAAGAAGTCCCCACCAGATAAGAAAGAGTCAGTCCAGAGGTCCAGATCACATGAAAGGTGCTGCTTTTCCCCTCGGGCTTACTATGTTAAGGAACCTTACCAACTATCATTAAGTTAAGAGAGGGTAGGATGGACTTGGTGTACAGGCAGGTAAGTAAATAGGCATCAATGTGTCTTCAGGCTTAAGAACTGGGTCTAGATCAGCTTTTTGGGTGGGGTTACTGGTGCATGGAACAGATGGGAAGTAAACTAACTTTCTTTTTTTTTTTTTTTAGGATTTTATTTATTTATTTGAGAGAGAGAGAATGAGAGATAGAGAGCACGAGAGGGAAGAGGGTCAGAGGGAGAAGCAGACTCCCTGCTGAACAGGGAGCCCGATGTGGGACTCGAGCCCAGGACTCCAGGATCATGACCTGAGCCGAAGGCAGTCACTTGACCAACTGAGCCACCCAGGCACCCAGTAAACTAACTTTCTTAAAATAGTTTTATTGAGATCCAGTTCACATTTAACAGAGTTCACCCTTTTAAAGTGTACAATTCAGTGGTTTTTAGTATAGTCACAGAGTTGTGCAACCATCACCACTAGCCAGTTCTAGAACATTCCCATCACTCCCAAAAGAAACCATGTACCCATTGGCAGTCAATCCCCATTCCTCTCTCCCCCAGGCTGGCAACCACTAATCCATTTTCTGTGTCCATGGATTTGCCTATTTCTGGACATTTCATGTAAACAGAAATCATACAAGATGTGGCTTTTTGTGTCTGGCTTCTTTCATTTAGCATAATGTTTTCTAGTTTCATCCATAGGGTAGCATGTATCAGTATTTCATTCCTTTTTATTCCACTGTATAGATATATTTTGTTTATCCATTCATCAGCTGATAGACTTTTAGGTTGTTTCCACTTTTTGGCTGTTATGAATAATCGTGCTATAAACATCCGTGTACAAAATTTTATGTAGAGGTGTATTTTCAGTTCTCCTTCGTACACAGCTAGTAGTGGGATTGCAGGGTCATAAGGTAATCCTGTGTTTAACTTTTTGAGAAACTGCCAGACTGTTTTTCAACCGCAGTATCTCACTGTGGTTTTTATTTGAATGTCCTCGTCAGCTAATTATGTTGGGCTCTTTTTCATGTGTTTATTGACCATTTGTGGATCTTCTTTAAAGAAACATCTATTCAAATCTTTTTTCCACTTTTAAATCGGATTATTTGTTCTTATTGTCGAGTTATAAGTGTTCTATATATATTCTAAATTCAAGTCCCTTATCAAATACAGAGTTTGCCAATATTTTCTCCCATTCTGTGGGATGTCTTTTCATTTGCTTGATAGTGTTCTTTGAAACACAAAGGTTTTAATTTTGATGAAAACCAATGACTTTCTTTCTCTTTCTTCCTTCCTGCATTCCTGCATTCCTTCCTTCCCTCCTTCCTCTCAGATTTTTATTTATTTGACAGAGAGAGCCAGAGAGCACAAGCTGGGGGAATGGCAGAGGGAGAGGGAGAAGCAGGCTCCCCACTGAGCAGGGAGCCTGACTCCGGGCCTGATCCCAGACCCCGGGTACCATAACCTGAGCTGAAGGCAGACACTTAACCGACTAAGCCACCCAGTCTTTTCTTTCTTTCTTTCTTTCTTTCTTTTTTTCTTTCTTTCTTTCTTTCTTTCTTTCTTTCTTTCTTTCTTTCTTTCTTTCTTTCTTTCTTTCTTTCTTTCTTTCTTCTTTCTTTTTTCTTTCTTTCTTTCTTTCTTTTTTCTTTTTCTTTCTTTCTTCTTTCTTTCTTTCTCTTTCTTTCTTTCTTTCTTCTTTCTTTCTTTCTTTTTCTTTCTTTCTTTCTCTCTTTCTTTCTTCTTTCTTTCTTTTTCTTTCTTTCTTTCTTCTTTTTTTCTCTTTCTTTCTTTCTTTCTTTCTTTCTTTCTTTCTTTCTTTCTTTTCTTTCTTTCTCTCACTCTTTCCTTCCTTCCTCCCTCCTTCCCTACCTTCCTCCTCCCTCCCTCCCTCCTTTCCTTCCTTCTTTCCTCTCTTCTTGTGCTCTTGGTGTCGTATCTGAAACAAACAAAGAAAAAGTAAAAAATAATGTTTAATCCAAGATCACTAAGTTTAACAATTGCATTTCTTACATTTAGGTCCATGACCCATTTTGAATTAATTTTTGTACCTGGTGTGAGGTAGAGATCTAACTACATTCTTTCAAATGAGGTTATCCAGCTGTTCCTGCATCACTTGTTAAAAAGACTATTCTTCCCCCTTGTGTGTTTGTTTCTAGACTCTCAATTCTATTCCTTATGCCAGTACCACACTGTCTTGATTACTATAGTTTTGCAGTTAAGTTTTGAAATAGTAAGGTTGGTGTAAATCTTTCAACTTTGCTCTTTTTCAAGATTGTCTTGGCTACTCTGGACCCTTTGCAATTCTATATGAATTTTAAGATCAGTTTTCAACTTCTGCAAAAAGACAGGTAGGATTTTAATGGGGATTACATTGAATCTGCAGATCATTTGTAAATTTTTTTTTATTAAAGATTTTTATTTTTATTTTTGGACAGAGAGGGAGAGACAGCGAGAGAGGGAACACAAGCAGGAAAGTGGGAGAGGGAGAAGCAGGCTTCCTGCCGAGCAGGAAGCCCGATGGGGGCTTGATCCCAGGACCCTGGGATCATCACCTGAGCTGAAGGCACATGCTTAACTGAGCCACCCAGGCGCCCCTGTAGATCATTTGAAGGAGAATTGACATCTTAACAATATTAAGTCTTTCAGTCCAAGGACACAAGATGACTTTACATTTATTTAGGTCTTCTTTAATTTCTTTTTTTTTTTAAATATTTTATTTATTTATTTTTTTACAGAAAGAAAGAGTGTGCCAGTGGGAGGAGGGGAGAGGGAAAGGGAGGGAGAGAATTTTTTTTTTAAGATTTTATTTATTTGGGCGCCTGGGTGGCTCAGTTGGTTAAGCGACTGCCTTCGGCTCAGGTCATGATCCTGGAGTCCCGGGATCGAGTCCCGCATCGGGCTCCCTGCTTGGCGGGGAGTCTGTTTCTCCCTCTGACCCTCTTCCCTCTCGTGCTCTCTATCTCTCATTCTCTCTATCTCAAATAAATAAATAAATAAAAAAATCTTTAAAAAAAAAAGATTTTATTTATTTAATTTTGAGAGAGAGAGAGAGAGCATGTGCAAGAACGGGGGGGGGGTAGGTCAGAGGGAGAGGTAGACTCCCTGCTGAGCAGGGAGCCCAATGCAGGACTGGATCCCAGAATGCTGGGATCATGACCCAAGCCAAAGTCAGACACTTAAATAACTGAGCCACCGAGGTGCCTGGGAGAGAGAGAATCTTTTTTTTTTTTAAAGATTTTATTTATTTATTTGAGAGAGAAAGAATGAGAGATAGAGAGCACGAGAGGGAAGAGGGTCAGAGGGAGAAGCAGACGGGAGCCCGATACGGGACTCGATCCCAGGACTCCAGGATCATGACCTGAGCCGAAGGCAGTCACTTAACCAACTGAGCCACCCAGGCGCCCGGGAGAGAGAGAATCTTAAGCAGGCTCCACACTCAGCACAGAACCTGATCATGACCTGAGCCAAAATCAAGAGTCGGACCCCTAACTGACTGAGCCACGCAGGCGCTCCTGGTCTTCTTTAATTTCTTTTAATGATATTTTGTAGTTTTCAGTGTACAAGCCCGGAACCTCTTTTGTTAAATGTACTCCTATTTTATACTATTATATATGATTGTAAACAAAATTATTTTCTATATTTAATTTTTGTACTGTTATAGTAAGTTATTGAGAGGACTTAATTGGCCAAAGTCTACAAGCCTGGCCTGTGCAACTTTGGGATTTTTCAACTCCTAAAGAAAACCATGAGCTCCCAAACCTGCACCAGCCAGGAACCGGCTGTGGAAGCTGTGTCCTCACTTCCCCCAGAAGGGCGCATTCTCCAATGCCCTCTTCATTTGTGGCCCCTAGAGGACTAGGAAGGAACTCCCAGAAGGCAAAGCCAGGGGCCACAGGGAATAATAGATAGAGGAGATGTTTTCAGGTAATCCGTACCAAGGAACCTACTCCTCAGGGAGGCTGGGAATCTTTGGAGATCTTGCCCCAGGGAATCTACTAATCGCTGTGTTCCTGCTTCGAGTTTTCTAATTTTTCCTTTCCAAAAGGCAGTTTTAATTATGGTTCTTGTGGTCTTACCTCCTCTTGTATATGCTTATTGCTGGTGGAAGGGGTAAATAGACAACTTGCTTTTTAGTTTATATGTCACTGGATAATATCTGAACTCCATACCAAGATCTGACAGTCCCCAAGAGGGCCTGGGCTTTGAGCTGGTTGCAGTAATGGATGGGACTGGAGCGCCTAGGTGGCTCAGTCAGGCATCTGCCTCAGGCTCAGGTCATAGGCTCGGGGTCCTGGGATAGAGCTCCACATCAGGGTCCCCACTCGGCGGGGAGTCTGCTTCTCCTTCTTCCTCTACCCCTCCCTACCACTCGTGCTTTCTCTGTCTCTCTCTCAAATAAATAAATAAAATCTAAATAAATAAATAACTAAATAAATAAATAATGGATGGAACCCTGTGGGTCTGGGGTGTGGGCAGGAGATTAACATGTTCCGTGGGGTGGGGGAAGAGTGTGTTTACGTGGATGGCCAGAGGGGCAGGCCATGGCAGGGAACGATAGTTTTTCTTTGGTAGCCACTCTCCTCTTCTTCAATAGTGGAATATTTAAGTGGCCACTTTTGCTGCCCAGCAAAAGACTGTATTTCCTAACTTCCTTTGCAACTTGGTGTGCATTTTGATCAAGTCCGAGGACAATGCGGTGGGAATGGACATGATGCATGCCACTTTCAGGCCACGCCCTTCGGTGGAAACAGGACTGTTTTCTCCTCCCCCTTTTCCTTTTCCTTCTGGCTGGGAGGCTGAAGTGCTGGCAAGGGCTGGAGCCTCCATCTTGTAGGGGAACTCAGAGCAACAGACTGAAGAAGCTACCATATCACCCCTACCCTGCCTTCCTAGCCTTCTCATGCAGGAGTGAAACTTCTACTTATTTGATACACTGTCTTTGGGGACTTCTCTGTTATAGCAGCCTAACTGTTAACCTAACTAATACAGGAAGTGTGTCTGTTTTTAAGATGGGAGAGACTACAACATGTTTCTATGCTTCTGGAAATGCCCAATTAGAGGCAGAGGGACTGTTGAGCAGAGAGTGGAGGGATAACCAAGGAGCAGAATCCTTGAGGAGATGAGAAAGGGCGGGATCCAGGGAGCAGGGGATAGAATTCTTCTTGGGCTGAAGAAACTGGGATGCTTGTTCCATTGTGACAGGAAGAATAAGAAAAAAATTGTTGTAGACACAGAGAGATTTGTGGATTAAGCGGTGGGAGGATGAGAGAGGTTCAATATATTTGCAAGCAAGTAATGTCATGATAACACATGGAATCTGTATTTTATTGGACTCTTCCACACAGCACTGGTTCCCTGACACTCACCATTGATCCTTGCATGGCTTATTTTTATTTAATCAGCTATTTGTAATGATGTAACAGACACCTGCAAAATCACCACCCAAACAAAAGCCTTGACAATGACCCACATCTTACATATGGTTCCTCTTCCCTATTCCACCCCCGGCCGCCCCCACCCACAGTGACTGTCATCCTGAATTCTATGTACCACAGTCCCTTGCTTTCCTTTTATATAGTTTTATTATGCCTATGTACATTTCCAAATATTATATGCCTACATTTTATATTAACTGTTTGTAACCTCAATAAAAGAGTATCATTCTCCATGTAATCCTTGGGGGTTTACATTTTTCAGTTAATTGTATATTGCCAAGATGTATCCATTTGTTTTCTGTTGCCGTGGCTCTTAACCTGCTGTATGGTATTCCGTTGTGTGAATACACCACAGTTTATCCACAAGCCAGAGAATCTGGGAAAGGAAAGTGAAGGCAGGAGGGGGCTGATGGATAGAGAGAAAGTGAAGGAATCAGCAAACTGGAGAGTTTTCTGAAGCCAGAGAACTATTTAGGGGCTCTTGGGCCAGGGAGCTGAGAGGCTCAGAGGTGATGGATGGAGAGAGCAGCTGGAATTTCTGATTTCAGAAGTGAGGCTTCAGGTGACCATAAGGTCTTCAGGGATAAATGTGGCGATGGAAAGCTAAGGCTGGAATTATCGGAGATGACAGTGACCGAAGCGAGAGGTCAGGGTGTGGATATGTTTGTTTAGGATAGTGGCAGGTGGGGGAGTAGAGGAAAAGATGAAGAGGTTGGAGCTGGGGGTCTTCCATGGGGGAGGGAGCACAGCCAGGAGGCTGGGAGACGACCAGGATCAGGAGGGAGGAGGGTAGAGCTGGAAGCAGGAGTGTCAATGGTGCGGGGTTTTGCGAGGGCTGGAAACGACAATGAGGAGTAATTAAGACAAACGCCACCTTTTGGTCTTCAGGTGCAGAGAATATGAGAATAAACAGCCTCCCTTGAGAGGGCTGCAGGGAGATGGTGGCTCAGGACCAGAAGAGGAGGAAACATTCCAAGAAGAACTTGAAAACAGGGGAGTGTGCTGACTGGCACAAGAGCTCCTGAGTGCATTGTGCAAGAGAAGAGGGGAGGGGTACAGCAGGTGAGGCAAGCAGGCGGGCCGGGACTCAAGTGAGGCGGGCAAGCTGTGGCGGGAAGGGAGACCCTAGCTCTCATGGAAGGCCAGCCTTGGCTATCCCTCACAAGCTAGGAGCAGGGTCATCACTCGGCATCATGCCCCCCACGCCACTGTGTCACCAGCCCTGTTTGTCCCTCATTCCTGATGGATCTCATGGGGATGGCAGTGGGGGACCAAAAGTCAATACTCTTTCCTTGGGTCCAATGCTGGGGTCAGGGGAAACCAGTGTGGAGAATGGCCTGGGTTAGAGGTGGGACCAGAAGTCTTGCCTCCACCTTCAGAGGGATCCAGAGATGCAGTCTGGAGACCTCATGTCATCTTCCTGCCAGTTCAGTTAGGGCCTGCTGGTTCCCGTAGCCCAAGGCTGGTCCAACTTGCCCTATGAGAAGTTTTCTTTTCATAACCAGTATGAGGGTAGAGACTCCATCTTGGCTTTCAGGGAGGCCTCTCTGAGGGAGGAGGTTTGGAGGGAAAGAAGAAGGGGTAAAGCCAGCTGCTTGGTAGCCAAGGATGGCTGTAAGAAAGACATGGGCCTGCCGGCCATTGTTCTTAAACACAATCCGTACAGAAGAAAGGAAAAAAGCCCAGCCCAGCCCCAGCCTGTGTCTCTGTGGTCTGAAGCAATGTTTCCTTCTGGATTTCCCAGTTGGGCTCACCTCAATTATCCTTCAAGTATAAAAGCTTGGCATGAGGGTGAGGAATCATCTGACATAAAGTCCTCCTATTATTTTCTGTGCCTCACCTCCTGCAATGACCTCAAGTATGACCAGCCACTGCCTCTTCCCCATCCCAGAAACCCAGAAACTTCCAAGCTGATGCTCTCTTTTCCCTCCCTCAGAACCACAGGCTATAGAAGATCCTAGTAGGAGCCCAGTAATGGAACACTCCCAGGTGGCAGGAGAAGAGGCAGTTACGGGCAGTTTTTCCTTTTCCTCCATTGCTTAGTTCTCAGGAAATCTGTGCCCCCAGTTCTCTGTCTCAGGGGGAGATGGGCTATCTGCTGTGCTCACCCACCCTAATGCAGGGGCGCAGCTCCTATCATGGAGGCAGGGAGGGGCAATGACTATATTTATCTGTGGCTCTAGCTCTCAGGAACCCCCCAGTCTGATGAGGGAGCCATGACCTCCCCATTAGAGAACGCCCTGGGCCAACGCAGTCTGGTCTAACCCACAGGCAAAACACTTTGGAACTTGGCCCTCGAGAACGGAGTCAGGATGTAGGGAGAAATAAAACATAACTCTGTAGGTAGGCAGAGCAGATCTGGCCCTGTGATGTGCCTTGTCACATTCTCAGCGAAGTGTGGGCTGGTCACAGGCAGCGTTTTTCTGGGTTTGGATTGGAGGTATCTGAGTCAGGGAACAAATTCAGTGCTGGACACAAGCGATATGGTTTTCAGCCTACAGCAGTGGGTACCGAGAAAAGGTCCGAAGACACATTACCTAAAATACACACTTGGCTGACGTTAACAGAGACTCAACATAAGAGCGGCTCAAACAAGACAGATGTTCATTTCCTCTTGTGTAGCAGTCCCGGCACAAACAGTTCAGGGCCAAAACGGCACTAAGGACTCAGGCTTCGCCTAACTTGCTACGGTGCCCTCTATGGGTCCTGTTCTCGCCGGAGGATCCTAGGTGGTTCACCAGCACACAAGGGCTTCCAAATTGTGGGAAGTAGGGGGGACAAGGGTCAAGAGAGACTGCTCCCCTCTTTTCAAGGACAGCCTCTGGAAGCGCGCCCCTTGTTTTGCTCACACCCTACTGGTCAGAACTCTTAGGTACCGGGCTAGCCTTCGCCGCAAGGGAGCCTGGGAAATGTAGTTTTTATTCCAGGCAGCCATGTATCCGGTAAGCACTTTTTGTTCTATTGGAGAAAAGGAAAAACTGTGACCGGGAGCCACCTGGTAGTTCTGCCACATGAAACCCCAAGTGCATGGTAAAGAGCTTCTTAGGTCTATCTGCCCTGTACCTCATTCCCCCTGGCCACAGGGTTGGGCAAGTGACTCAGTCTGAGAAAATCGTAGTTAACACATTCCCCTGGCCACAGCCCTTGGTCCAGGACTGGGCACATGACTCAAGCAGAGCCAATCAGAGTTCTTCCTCAGGACTTTTGCCTAACCAAATCTGGTAGCATGGTGCAATTTCCTTTTTGGTCCTGAAACCATGAGAAAGCAATCCTGAGCTGCCCACGGTGATTTTTCCTTACCAGAGGAAGGCAAAACCTGTCTGCTCAAGAAATGGTGCCGCCAGCCTCTGAGAGACACAGGGAGGAGAGAATCACCCAGCAGGGGGAGAGGGCCTCATTCTAGACCTCCCTGGGGCCTGCTTTTTATCCTTGCCCTGATTGAGCCGGCTCCTCAATACCACCTTTCGCCAAGCTGATTCAAGGTGGGTTCTGGCCATCGGCAACCCAACGTCCTGACTTATCACAGCTTTGAAAGTGATGTTTTTTTCTCCCTGGGGGAATCAGTGGGGTGGGGGTGGGAGGTAGACACCACTAAGATTGACAACCTGAAAGCAAAGAATGTGGGCTCCAGCCAAGCCCTATCTTTCTCCTGCACATTTGGCCCGAAGCATCTTAAAGTTCCCACACAGCATCTCACAGTAACTGGCTGCTGGGTTTCTTTGCATTTTCCAGTTGGTCCTGTTTCCTGCAAGGAGCCAGCACAGCTGTGAGGAGGGGGCCTGAGGAGGGGCAACCCTTACAAAGGGCCCTTTCTCAGCGGGTCCAGGCTGTTATCAGCCAAACCTAAACTCTGAATCACCTGCTTCCGTGGGCAGCCCCGTAGGTGGGGTGCTTGATTCCCCCTCTGGGCCTTCCTGCGTCAGGACCTGTGAGTGGGGGCGGACTCTCAATAAAGGTTCATTGTTTTCTGTCCCCTCACACTATCATGGTTCTGTCCAAGACCTTCCTGAGCCCCCCTCTTCCTCTTCTCTTCACTCATCCCCCGGCCCTGGCCCTGGTCCCTCTGGGCACTCTCCCATCCCCACCCCGCCTTGTAGACCAGCATAAACTCCTCAGGCAAGATGGGGTGGAGGCTGAGGAGACAGGAATGTGCAGGAGCCTTCTCCCTCCAACTCGGTCCGAATGAGGACCGAATCTGAGAATGTCCTGTATTTCTGAACCTGTGACAGACCCCCTCGCCGCCCCCCGACACATACATAATTCCCTGGGTCTCTTGAGTCCCCTACCCCCCACAGACAGCAACCAAGCTGTCCTGGGCCTGCGGTGTCACCTGGTGGCCAGCCTTGGAACTGTCTGGCTCCCAACCTCTCCTCCACTTCCTTTATTGGGGGGGGGTTGTAGCAATAGGGACACATATGTGACCTAATCTCCATTTTCTCTCTGTTTTTGTTCTTTCTTTGTTTTTGTTTTTACCACAGTTCAGTTCAGCTCATTCTTCCTCAGGCCATCTTGAAAACCCAAATCATCCACCCTTGAATCTGCTTTTTTCATCTCCTTTCTAACAGCTCTACCCGTTACCTCAGGAGTCCTTTCCCCACCGTTTACTGTCTGCCCAAACAATCCCGGCTGACTGTCAGGATGGAGCCAGGCTTGCCCCTGTGTCAAGAAAAAGGCAGACTGCATGTCAGAAAGATTAATTAGAATGATGAAGAACAAAGGCTTTCAGCCTCTAAAGCCCCTGAAGAACAGCTCGAAGTTCCCTCAGAACGTCCCACCCTTCTCCTTCTACTCCTGTTAAGAAACCTGCTTTCCCTCAAGCACCAGCTTTCAAGAGAAAATAAACAGACTTTTCTAGATCAGCATTATTGTTTTTCCATTTCTACCTACAGGTCTTGCAACAGTAGGGTTCTCTTTTTTTCTGCCTGTGGCAGCCCAGCTTTGTGACAGGCATTTACCACCTGACCTGGAAAACAGCCCCGTTCATGCCTCTGAGTCCTCAATTTTCTACTGGCTCATTGTGTGGAACGCCGTTCCATTTCACAGAAACAAAGTTTTGAAATATAACTCATCCGTAAGCTGGGACTGCCCGATTGTAGACATTTAAGATCATGAGATACTTTCCGGGGCAAGATGGGGGCTGCTTACTGTTGTTTTAGACAGGCTGATGCAGGAGGATGATCTGATTTCCCAAGAAATGGAAATCTTGACACACACACCCCCCAACACTAGAAGCCTTGTGGCTTCCAGAATGGGCTCAGCCAGTGGAATAAGGTTACAGGGAGGGGGTGTGGAGTGAAGAACTCAGGCTGTGGACACAAAGACCAGGTAGAGAGAGTGTGAGAAGAGCTGAGCTGAGTGCAGGGTGCTGGAGAGAAGTCTTAGGACCAAGGACTGGAGAGACACACCCAACTAACATTTATCAAGCACCTGCCACACGTCAGGAAGGACCCAACAGGGAAAGATGTGGGTGCCCCAGGCAGGCTAATAATTTTATGTCCCCTCAAAGTGATATTCTTTTACTATCAGTTCAACTTGAATGCAGTGGACTTGGCCTCTGCTTAGAAGAAGGGGGGCATGGACAGAGAAGGGGATCCCCATTGGCAACACTCCATCTTCCCTGAGTGGTTCAGCTCTGACCCCACACTTGCATGCTGCAATTAGACGAACAAAATCTTTTTAGAAACCCCGCCCCACCCTCCTTAGAAAACCGCTTAGAGACCAACTGTTGTTACTCTAGCCTGCTCTTTTTGGGGTCCACCCACCACCCCATTGCGAGTAGCTCATTAAAGCAGAGTATGCAACTGTCCCTTAGAGGAGTTCCAGGCATGGTTTTCTTCATCTCCTTACATTTCCAGTGGTGTCTGAGTGCCTCATAAAGATGGCACCCTATCTAGCCGTCATGGCTGCCTGACCCCTTAAACCAGCCCTGGTGCTGGGTGCCGAGCATGCTGTCACCCTGCCATATAAGTCTCATGATCTCCATTCTACCTGCTGAAACTGAGGCTGAGGGAGGTTAGGTGAGCTGCCCAAGGCGCCCATAGCTGTTAAGTCTCACCTTGGAGCTGAGATCTGAATTCGGGCTCACCCATGTTATTCCAAAGCCCAGATCTTCTTCACTTCCTCCCCCTCCCCTAGGAGAAAATGGGAAGAAAAAGCCATTGAGAGCTGAAGGATGGGCCCTCTGAGGAGAGACAGGAGGTGGAAGTTTGAACAAGGACTTGTGACAAGCTATCAGAGACCCAGTGGGTGCCAGGAAGCTGGGTGCCTGGCCGCACTGCAGGATGGCCCAGGGTGGGGTGAGCAGAGCCAGTGTGGGCTCCCAGGGTGTGAGAGGGCGAGGAAGGCTTGGTGGGGGGAGTGTGTGATGCAACCAGGCCAGGGCCTTCCCTCCACAGGCAGGCACACTAGCACTGCCCACTGACCGGACAGGGTAAGCCTGGGGTCTGGCAAAAAGAGGCCAAAGAGCGCAGGAGGGATCTTTGCGGGTGAAATCCCTCCTTCAGCCCTAGATCAGAGGCTGCAGAAAGTCATTTGGGTCAAGTGGAGGCAGGATACTGAGCACCCTAGGGCTGCCCCCCCCCCCATCGCTCCCCTTTCTCTCCTCATTTCCCTTCCCTCCAAACCCCCAGCACCGGCGGGCACAGCTCCAGGACCTGGCAGCCTGTTCCTGGCCTCCCCAGCAGAGGGCTCCAGAGCAGAGCTCAGGAGGGTTGGGTGGGGAAGGAAATCTGGCCGACCTCCCTGAACGGAGGTACAGGAAGAACAGGGCCTTACACGTGGCTCACAGGTGTCCAGGTGTCCACATACGCGGGCGGTCTTTCCTCCTGCACGGCTGTGTCCACATTTCTGTACACAGCGTGGGTATATGTAAGTGTGTAAAAGGGCGTGTATCTGGGTTTGTATGTATCTGCTGGTGTGTTTACACGACTGCTTGTGTGTAAGTCTGTTGGGTAGTTGGGCTGTATGTGTGTGTTTGCTCATTTCCGCTTTGCACACACCAGCACTGCTCATGACCCCCATGGGTCTGCGGGTGCCCGTGTGATTTGGGCATAGGTATCTACGCTTGGGCTTGGAAGGAGGAAAGAGAAAAACAGGTGATAGGGATGTGCTGGGCAATCTCAACATTCTCAGGGACAGGGATGCCTTCTGTCCCATCCCAGATGTCACAGCGTGTCCACAGCCCTCTGGCTGATAGTGCCCGGCCCTCCTCAACTTTGCTCGTGAAATGTGAAAATGTGAAGATTTGTGAAATCTTCCTGCCCTGTGAAAATGAACGATTCCTGGAGTAGGTGGCATAGTTCATTTCTGTCTAGGACCCACACATCCGTCCATGTGTGTACGTGTACATAACTGTGACTTTTTTGGATAGGGATTGAGTTATTTTTTCCTGGAGAGAAAAATGTTGACATGCCTTTAGAGAATCGTCTGCCCAGAAAATCCCCTGATGCATGAAGAAGGCATGTTCATCCCTTCTCTCTAACACACACACACACACACACACACACACACACACACACACACACCCTTTCAGAGGCCTGGGATCTTACCAAGTGTGGTGTTTGGGCCCCCTCTGGGCCTCATCCGCACCGCTTGCCCAGTCCCATCCAGCATGGGGCAAGGATCCCATAGAGCTGGGCTGCAGGATGGGAGCGCAGACTCAGCCATGTGTCTCCAGGCAAGGTTGATTTCCTGTGGCTGCTGGAACAAATCACCACAAACTAAGCGGCTTAAAACAAAACACATGTATTCTCTTACAGTTCTGTAGGTGAGATGTCCAGGCTCAGTCTGACCCGGCCAACGTCAAGGTGTCGGCAAGGCTGGTTTGTCCTGGAGGCTCTGGGAGGCTCTCCGTCTCCTTGCTGAGCTCAGCTTCGAGGGGCTGCCTGCGTCCTTTGGCTTGTGGCCCCTTCCTTCGTCTTCAGAGGGCCTCACTCCAGTCTCTGCTCTGTCAACACACTGCCTACTTCTGTTCTGACCCTCCTGCGTCTCTCGTGCTTGTGATTACTTTGGGCCCCCCTGGCAGACCCCCATCTCAAGAGCCTTGATTGAATCACAACTGCAAAGTTCTTCTTGCCATGTAAGAACATTCTCAGGTTCTGGGGATTACCTGGCCATGTTTGGGAGCTGTTATTCAGCATGTGGCCCTCAGCTGTAGCTCAGAGGCTCCGTCTTCCCATTTTCTCCCAGGGGAGGGGGAGGAAGTGAAGAAGATCTGGGCTTTGGGATAACATGGGTGAGCCCGAATTCAGATCCCAGCTCCAGGGTGAGACTTACAGCTATGGGCGTCTTGGGCAGCTCACCTACCCTCCCTCAGCCTCAGTTGGCCTCTTCCAGCTCTGATGTCAGGACACTGAGGCTTCACCTTACTGGACTCTGGGCGAGATGGGCCTGGCTCCACTCATTGTTGAGTCTCTGGGCCTCATGCCGTCTCCTCTGCTTCGTCAGAGGGAAGCCCTCCCTACCCTGCATCTGGCACCCTGAGGGGGTGTCTACACCTGAGGGGCTTCTTCAACATGTGAAGAATTCCTCCAGCTCCAACTTAGTTTAGGATCTGAATTGTACCTTTCTTCAGGGCAGGGTCTTCAACTGCCCCCCTGTGACATGGGGACAAGAATCCTAGACCCAACTCAAGGACACTGGGTAGGTATCTCAAATGCCTGAGTGGGAGAGGCAGAGATGTGGGAACCCACTCCTGCAGTTGTCCCCACCGGATCCAGCTCCCAGAGCTCAGGTCACCCCAGTCACAACCAGGACTTAAAAGGGCAAGAGAGGGACAATGCTGAGCCAGCCCGGGCAGTCCCACGGGACCCAGTTGGTCAGGCCGGTGCCCTCAGAGGCCTCCCAAGTGAAGTGCCTCTTTGAGCCAGACCTTCCTTCCCTCTTTCCTTCCTTCCTTCCTTCCCCTGACATATGTCAGACACAGGATGTAGAGCTAGAAATGGTCAGTCCCCCCCCCCGCCTGTGACAAATCTGTGGGGAGACAGCCATGCAAACACCCCCTCCCGAGCGGTGTGTTGGGCACTGGTCCCTGGAGTTCCCCAGAGCCCTGTGGAAGCCAAATGAGACTGCCTAAGGTGTCAGGAGGGCTTCTTGGGGCTGATGGTGCCGCATCGCACACCCCAAAACACTGAGTCGCCCTGCACATACCATGCAGGGAGAGACAGCCATGGTTTGGCTCATGCTGTTCCCACTACTTGCTATTTTTCTACTCCTCTCCTGGATAGCTCTGACTCAGGTGCCACCTCCTTCAGGAAGTCTTCCCTGAAGTCTGGGGAGGCTAAATCCCCTCCCTGATGCACCCCACAGAGAAGCTTATTGTATCGAGATGAGGGACTGATCTTATCTTATAGACAAGAGAAGGCCACTGCCCTGGAGGGGCTGAGAGCGGGAAAGGAAAGCATTAGGGAGATGGGGCTGGGGGGGCTGGGCTCCTCAGCAAGCCTTTGAAAAGCCGATGGGCCGCTAGAGTTCTGCCGAGGGGGATGCGGGGGGCCGCTTTTACAGCTTGTGGTGGTGGTAGGTGCTGGGACCAGAAGTCCCCTCTCCTGCTTTTAGCCCAGTGAACCATCCTGTCCTGAGGGTGGTCAAGTCCTGGCCACCTCTGTGTCCACAAGGGCTTGGTGGATGAACATGAAGGGAATGAACACGGGGGACCTGATCCCACCAGACACAAGCGCCCAGAAAGCCCATCGTGTTCATGTCACAGTTTTGGTCTCATACTGAGACCTAACTCCCAAGGGGGTGCCCAGATTTCCCAGGATTCCTTCCATGGCAGAGATGTTCAGAGAAAGATCTGGATTGGAGTTCTGGCTCTGCCTCTTACGACCCGTATGAATTCTGGAGCTCCCATTTCCTCATCAGCTGAATGGGGACAATAACTGGACATACCTCGGGGC